TGATGAGAGTTTCATTTTACATTTGTGAAACATTCTGGCACATCTTTTTGTTAATCCGTTTGACACTATTTCTTTTGCAGTGCAGAAACCATGGAAATGGTTTTTTTTTTTTTTTAATGGAAACCCATCACACAATTTGCTACCTGGCCTTTTAAAAAATATTTAGCATTCTTGAATGTTTGATTTCTTCTTCTTTTGTTTAGATATGGCAGCTACCGAACTCTCAGATGATTCCCGGATAACCAAGGATGGGAATAATCAAATAAAAAAAATAACTAGATCATTCAGAAAAAACACAACACCCTCAGAAATCAACAAAATAACCACCAACGGCTTGGCAACCACCTTAACCCCAGGTCTCAGAGCAAAGCCAGATGTTCAAAGACTTCCGGAACAACTGAATGATGGGAACCAGACAGAACACCAGAAGGATGCTCTTCCAGAGGGCAGACGTTGTAATGGAGAAGGTGCGTTCCCTGGGTCCCGATTAGAAATACAGGGGGAAGAACTGCATTCTTATTTATTGATTATATTTCTATACTACCATATTTCTCAATATTTCCTGTAGCCTGGCCTGTGGTAAGGAATGCTAGTGATTATAACTTAGGAACAATTGGAGGGCCACAGGGTTTCTACCACAAGGGACACCTTTTTTTGTATCTGTGATGGCTTACTCCTAAGTAAGGGACTCTTTATGAAATATGAAATTATGTATCAATTACATTTAAACAATTACATATGCACTTCAACTTGAGTATGTGGGAATGGTGTGGTGGGTGGTTATTTCTTACCATCCATGCTAGCTACACAGATGATTATTCTAAATCATCGGGTAACAAAATGTTTGCAAGAAAACAACCAAGCTCAGAGAACCCCAAGGACTCTACAGTTCAACACTGAGCTACATATATTCGCTTCTATTGTTTCCTGCCTAGGATAATTTTTGATAGCATGTGAGATAAATTATGCTCCTCTAAAACTCTGATGACCAGACTACAAGCTAGTTAGTGGCTTAGTCATAGTTTTTCTCCTCCCAGAAATTTAGTAGCATTAGTGCAATTAGTGGCAAAAAAATCTCATTTGGGGGAGGCAAAAGATTGTCTGTGAAGGTGTGGGTAAAAATTAAAATGAAAATAAATTAACTTTCCTATTTTCTGTTAGACTTCTTTAACAAAAAAACCCAAAAGTATACTTTTGCTCTACCATTGTGAATGATATTGCTGCATTCCTGCCAATCTCCCTACAGCTCTCTTGGGTTGAAAAGGAAAGCGTGGCTCCTTGCAAAGACTGTGTGCCCCTAGTCAAGGTAGTTCATACGTACCTGATATGCCTTTTCATCAACTTTGGTTTTCAGTGGTCGGCTGCACCCTCCCACAACTTTCTGACAGCGAGAAGGCAGAAACAGAAACTATGATTCAGATTGGAGCTAATGTGACTCTGGAATGTGAAAATGGTTATGACAGGAATGGTACTTCTCCTATTCGATCTCAGCAGACGGGATTGGATGCTCCCGTGCCAGTTTGTTCAGCAAGTAAACAAAGTAAGTTGGAAATAAGGCTCTAAGGAATTGAGAGATAATTTGAATGTTATAGAAAGTTTGTATTGTTTGTAGAACCTTTCAAAAATATTTTCAAGAGCTGGTAGATTCAATTCCCCTTTTGTTGATAGATTTTAACTCTTGTTTTGCTTCTTTCTTCAGGCTCCTACAATTTTACTACGGTTTTTGGTAAGTAATTTCTAGAACCTCCCATCAAATCTTTGCGTGAAGAAAGGCACAGCATTGTGGACACGACATGAACACTGGTTAGGATTGGCCACTGTGTACTAGCCAAATATCTACCATGTTCTTCAACTGTCTTTGCCAGATGAGTCCATATAATGAGTCAGGGTGAATATGTAGCCAAAGGAAGTCAAGAAAGGAAAAGAAGATGTTGCTGTGCATATGATAACAGCAAAGTTGACAAAGGAACTTCACATAAGAAAAAAGAAAAGCTAAAAAAATATTTCTCAAATAGTCTAGTGAGGACTGAATAAGTTCAGTTCCACAGAATG